ACAATTAAAATTCAATATCTAGAATGCTCCTTACACTTGGAATTATGATTTCAGTAGTCTTGTTACTTTTAATTTTACTTAAATGTACTCAAATGCACTTTAACTTTTATCTGATTTTATGATTTTTTTTTTTTTCCCTGTAGTTTAGGAAAAGGAGCATGAAAATAACACTGAAGTCTCCTAATGCATTCTATCAAGTGGAATAAAGAACTTCTATCTTACTAGCCCTCAGAAATCAATCAAGAGTCAACATCTCTGATCTCAGTTGCTGGTAAAGAAACACTGATAGTAAAAGAGTTTATTTGCTCCTGATTTTCTCATCATTACCTAGAAAACTTCCGTTTGTGATCAAATGCAAGTGCAGTTGTGACACTAAAACTTAGCTCTTAATTCCCAATTATGTTTGAAAATAAAAAATCTTTACATTAATTTGAATCAAATCTGTACTTTTTTAAAGTGGGATCCGATTAAATTATATCTCTCTGAATTCAGTGGTGAAAGAGAATATGATTCAATGAAACTTTAGTGTAGGACTAATCAGTGCTAAGGGCTGATGGAAGACATTTTCTGCTAGATACTACTTAATTAAAGACACACAGAAAATTCATTAACCAAGTATGCAACAGTGACACTTTGATACTAGCTTGTTCAAAGTGTACCTTATGAGTCATAGAATCATAGAATAGTCTGGGTTGAAAAGGACTACAATGATCATCTAGTTTCAATACACCTGCCATAGGCAGTGTGCCAACCACTAGACCAGGCTGCCCACAGCCACATCCAGCCTGGCCTAGAATGCCTCCAGGGATGGGGCATCCACAACCTCCTTAGGCAACCTGATTCAGTGCATAACCATCCTCTGTGTGGAAAAACTTCCTCCTAATATCTAACTTAAACCTCTCCTGTCTCAGTTTAAAACAACTCTGCCTGAATTTTAATAAAGGTTATTTAAAAAAAAAAAAAGGTATGAACCATCTTATATACTTACTGTTTTTATATAAATAATATATATTTATATATTATAGAATTATTATTTTACTTATTTTATTATTAATATCATTAGTATTATATTGTTATTATTATTACAGTATCATTATACTATTATGTATTTATTGTAGTAAATATAAAAAAGTAATAGGGTCTACCTTTTACTGAATAGACCCTTATCTTTTCTATTTTATTTTAATCACCCCATTCTTACCAAGTAAGTCAAAGCTACTAAGTTGACCACATTATCAAACATCAGCACAATATAAAACTAGTAGAATCTTGTGGATTTCTCTTAACTTTTGAAACTCAACTTGATATTTTTTATATGACATTTTACTACTAGAAGGTCTTCTACCTTTGACAGTATCACTTACAAGCCTTCAAAGAGATTCTTCAAAAACTGAATTCTTTACTATTGCAAAGTTTTCACGTTCCGTTTCCAAATCAGAGGCTCCAGAGGACAAAACAGTTCCATAGGTATAGTGCACTGTAAGCATGCTGATGGTAGGACAGACAAAATTCTTATTAGAAATGAATGAATAAATGAATGTAAAAAAAAAATTGAGAAAACAAGTGAATGCATGTACTTATTAATTTCAGGTTTAAAATAATCAATATCAAACTGACTTCACATTAAAAACAGGGTATAAAATTTTTCATATAGAAAGAATAGGAGGCCTATCACTTATATGTACATCATAGCCTCGATGTATTTTACAGTTTAAAATCCTTTCTTTCTAATTTTATAAATGTAAGTATCACTCCTGCTAGAAAATGGTATCTTATTTCAAAATAAAATTTCAAAGATAAGATCTTAAGCCTAACTTCAGTTGCAATCCTTTCAATCTTGTTATCCTCTTTCACATGAAATTAAAGTCTCATGTAATCACTATGAGCTATATTTTTGAAGTGCTACTGATCACAAATGGTGATCAAGTCACATCTCCGTTTCTTTATTAAGGCAAAATTCATTTTGTCTTATTCTGTGATACTCATTTTCTGATGATCGCAACATTTTGTAACCTTACTCTGAACCATATTTATATATCTTTCTTGGAGCTACTGGCACAAAAATCAGTAACAGAAATCAATGCTGTGTGCAGAAAGCAAAATGATTCCTAGATTCTGCTTGTTTTTTTTCTTTTTTTCCCATTATTTTCATTTACTGAGAGGTATTTGTTAAATCTTTACTTATTGTGTCATTTTCCTAAAATCACTGAATATCTTGGGTTGAAAAGGACCTTAAAGATCATCTACTTTCAACTCCCTTGCCATGGGCAGGATTGCCAACCTCTAGACAAGGCTGCCCAGAATCACATGCAGCTTTGCCTTGAACAATTTTGAACTTCCTCAGTGCTCTTGAGCATCTGTTATTGTTTCTTGGGATACTTTCCCTTAGGCTGATGTGATAATTCTTTACTGCCATATTACCCAACCTGAACTCATCTCAGTTTAAGAAAAAGTGAGTCCTTGAACTACAAATATATAAATAAAAAAATCATATCAGTCTGTAATGTCTACCTATCACTTTCTAATTATTATTATCTAATTATGTAATTTTTACCCTAGTACCACAAACTGAATAAATAGATCTAGATGTGCAGTGGAATTTCTAGGTCACAACCTGAACCAGTACATGAACATGAACCAGTACATGAATGCTTGGAGAGGAATGAGCCAAGATTCACCCCTTCCTCTCTCCCCATCTCAGTGGAGTTTCTGGGAGTCTGTATGTAGTCTGAGTCTGCGTGTGGGTTCTCCCCTCCCTTATACATTAATGTTTTATATATATATATATATATGCATATATATACACATACATACATATACAATATGTGTACATTACTTATACATTAACAGTTTGTATGATTAAGAGTTACGCAATTATATTAACAGATGTGCTTCTATCATAGATTTCTAATTGGTATGTTGTTTATTCTTTCAGTTTTGATGAAAGCTTTAAGATCAGCTGATCTGAAAACTACCAAGCAGCCTGTAGCTCTGTACTGGACTCAAACCTTTTCTTATTAGTCTAGTATTTCTTTACACATCATTTCAAACTTTTGTATATTAAGGTATATTTCTGTTATTAGAAACAGTCATTACAATACAAACTATGCTCCAAATAATGCTAGTTACAATTTTATGAACTACTTTATAATTTATGAATATTAACAGTAAAAAAAATCATACTCTGATTAAATTAGAATGCATGAGCATACATGAATCATAAACAGCATTATTTTATGTTTTTTCTCCAAAATTAGGATGCTACTCAGATCTGATTTCATCATGTATGGTAAAGAATTTGTTTACAAATTATGCATATTAATTGTCCTGAAAAAAAAAAGTACTCATTTGTTCATTTTCCATTGAACACTCTTCCATCCTCCATGACTTTTGTTTTTTTGGGGAGTTGTTTTTTCTAGAGATGACATTAGGTATGTTGAAATATTGTATCGATATAATTGATTATATCAATATATATTATTACAGTTTATTAGTATCAATAATCACTGAGTTTTACCTAGCAGCAAAAATGCAGGTAATGTGTAATACACATGGGTTTCAGTTTGATTCAGTGTGTGTGGCAGATGTGAGAGGTGGAGTGAGCATTACACAGGGCCCTAGTCTTGTCGTGGTTTCAGCTGAAGCACTGTAAATAGCACATAAAGGTTTTGGTTGTTGTTGAGTGACAGACGTGCACCAGGTGCAGGGCCATTCAGTAGGGAAGGGCTGTCTCCATGATGGTAGCGGCAGAGGTCAGATGGTCCTACTAGGTGTTCAAAGCTGCATGTGGCTTGTGGTAGGAGGTTGGACGTGCCTGTATTAGTGTATACCAAATTGCATCCATAAATGAAGGATATTTTCTTCTTATGCATCTGCTTGAGATCATATTTAATTCGCTTTCTTTTTGGCAGAAAGAAAAAAAAAAAGAGATTTCCACACATAAACAATCGAATACCCATGCAGCCAGACAACTCAACAAACTTTGAGTAATATTTGTCAGAAAGGTTTCTGTTTGCAACTCTACTTTTTTACTTAGTTACCTTGCTGTGGACTCTGCAAAAAGCCTTTGTGCATGACTTCAAGGCTTGTCTATTTAGAACCGTTTGTCACAGCGAGCACCTTTTGAAAATGACTACTCTGTCTATGAGCTGGCCATACTACCTTTCCAAAGCTCTTACAAACTCATCATCAAAGTATCTCAAATTTCCTCCCACAGTATATTCTATTCCCTCCTGGAGCTAATCAACCTTTGTCACTAAAGTAACTTCTTGTTCTACTTCCTTGAATATTCAAACATCCTTTTGCTATGTTGGCTACCACCTCCTCAAATTTAACGGCTAGTAAACAGTTCCCAAAGAGATTTATAAGAAAGGAAAAGAAGTCCCCTCCAAGCAGGGACTGGGGCCCCACCTATTGTAAGAGAAGAGCAAGTTTGAGACTAAGTGATGAAACAAAACGTGTCTGTGGAGCCACACAACATACATCCCAGCTTCCTAATGGTTCAAGTAGTGACTAAACCACTCCCATCACATTCAAAACATTGTGACTGTCAGGTGAAGTCTTGATAAATGGAAAAAGGGAAACAGCACTCCAATTTTTAAGAAAGGGTGAAAGAAGACACAGGAAACTTCAGGCTGCTGAGCCCCACCTCTGTGCCTGCAGAGATCATGGAGCAGATTATCCTGGAAGCTACATTAAGGCACATGCAAGATGAGGAGGTGACCTGAGACAGCAAGCACAGCTTTACCAAATTCATATCAAGCCTGATCATTTTGTTAGCCTTCTATGCTTCAGTGACTGAAGCAGCGAGCAAAAGCGAGCAAAGGAAGACCAATGGCTGATGTCTATCTCGATTTCTGCAAAGCCAAAGATATAATCCCACACCACATTCTTGTCCCAAAATTGGAAAGATATGGGTTTAAAGAGTTCATCATTCAGTGGATAAAGAATATCTTGAATAGTCACAGACAAAGTGTTCCAACCAGTAGCCCTACGTCCAGATGGAGGCCGGTAATGTATGATATATTCCAAGGTCTGTCCAGATACCACTGTTTTTTTATCAATAACATAGACATATCAGTAACATATCAGTAACAAATTCATATGATTGAGTGCACTGTCAACAAGTTTTTTTGAAGATACCTAGCTGTGTAGTACAGTTGATATAAGAGAAGGCAGATGCTATCCAAAGGGACCTGGACAGGCCTGAAACATAGGCACTGCTGAACTGAATCAGGTTCAATGAGGTAAAGTGCAAGATGTTCCATTTGGGTCAGGACAATGCTTGATATGTGTACTGACTGGGAGAACTTCATGAGAACTGCCCTGTGAAGAAGGGAAGGTAGTGGTGAAAAACTTGATGAAAAACTTAGCAGAAGCCAGCAGTACATACTTGCAACCTGGAAGGCCAGATGAATTCTGGCCTGTATCAAATAAGGTTTGGCCAGCAGCATGAGGGGGGATGGAAGAATGCCTCTCCCTACTCTGCCCTCATTAAGCTCCAGTGAAGTACCGCATCCTTTTATGAGGTGCACAGAACAAGAATGATGGAGATGTTGGGTGAGTCCAGAAGATAACCATAAACATGATCAAAGGGGGCACGTCTCCTACAAAGAAAGGCTCAGTGAGCTGGAGTTGTGCAGCTTGAAGAAAACAAGACTCCAGGTAAACCTCATTTGTGCCTTCTAGTACTAAAACAGTGCTTAAAAAACAAACAAACAAAAATAAACAAACAAAAAACCACCTGGAGACTGAATTTTCACACTGATAGTTAAAAGACAAAGGAGAATAAAGCAAAAAAGATTTTAGTCAGATGTAAGGACAAGAATTTTACTTGAACAACTTGTCCAGAGAAGTTGTGAACAACCCATTCCTGGAGACATTCAAGACCAAAACTGATGGGGCCCTGGGCCTTGATCTAGTGACTGATTTACTGGTTGGCAACCCAACTCATGGAAGGAGGGGTGAAATTAAATGATCTATAACGTCCCTTTGAACCCAAACCATTCTGTGACAGTATTTTTAAAGAAAAAATAAAATAAAATATAAATAAATAAATAAAATGAAGCTGCTTGTGTATCTGACACTGTGTTTCTACTCCATTTTAAGAAACACACTGACTTCATGCTACGTCAGGTCAGCCTAGTCTGCACGCAAATCAGAAAAATGAAACCAAATCCTTTAAGGTTTCTGTGACCATATTCTGTGCAGTTTAACTCATTTAAACTAAAAAAAGAGAGAAAAAATACGCTATCACAGATGCTGGATTTTATTTATGGTGGGTTTTTTGGTCACAGTATGGAATTGGCATAATTTTATATGTAACTTTCAACTATGTTAATTCTCAACCAGTCTTCTTAGTACAAAAAGGGAACAAGAAACAGCTGGATCAGGTGGTAGAATTGAATAGTTACATCCATGTTGACTAAAGATAAGAGGAATAATCCAATTGTGATGCTATGTTACCTTAGAATATTCTGTCTGTGAGGACTTCTGTTGTCAAGAGTTAGCTGATTGGGTGGAGGGGTAGTACTGCCGTCACAAATACCCCTGGGCAAGGAGGAAGCCAACAAGAGATGCCTGGAGATCACAGACCTCATGAGACTAGCTGAGAATGAGTGAGTAGAGTCAGGAGTGGTGGTGGCCACGCGCATACAATCAAAGAAATCCTAGGGAGCTTGAGGAACCAGGATGGGCAATTGGACACAGCAGTAATGGGGTGGTACAGCACTTAGGGCATGTAGTTTGCACGGCAGGGACAGAAGACGTTCTGCTTTCTATCTTTCAAAATCAGCATGAAGCAGTCTTCTATTGAAACAAATACAGTGATCACTCATTACAAAGGCTGGGCACGAGACAGAAATCCAGACAGGGGCAGCAACTTCCCCCTGCAGGCAGCATGCATTTCTGGAAGAGTGAAAGAGCTGCCAAGACCTTCAGCTTGTTACTTACTCTGGAAGGAGCTAGGCTTGTTCAGTGTTGAGAAGGGCAGCTTCACAGGGACCTCTTAGTGGCCTTTTAGTATTCAAAGATAAAAAGAATAGTGACTGACTTTTTTCTTGGTCTGATGGTGCCAAGACAAGAGGAAACAATTCTAACCTAAAAGGAGAGAGCTTTAGGCTAGAGGTTAGGAAGAAATATTTTAGTGTGTTGTGTCACTGGAACAGGCTGTCCAGAGAAGTTGTAAACACTCTATCCCTGGAGACGTTCTAGGTAAGGTTGGACGGGGCCCTGGGCAGTCTGATCTATTGAGTGGGAACCCTGCCAATGGCAGAGAGCTGGATTTAGACAGTCATTGAGGACCCTTCCAGTCCAAGCCATATTATTTGAACATTAGCAGATTATCTCTGTTTTCCAATTTAAAGGTCCTGCATTCACTTAATGTAGTTCTAGCTTATTCCAAATTCTGAAAACACGCAATATCATTGCTAATGTAATAAAAAAGTTTTTGATTTCATAAAGTTAAGCTGAGACTTTGTAGTGCTCATTTATTAAGCATTCACAGGTAATAATATTAACATATGAAGTAATTTTAATGGAAAATATAGCAGAAAGCAAAGTGATAATGTAAATACTGAGCTACTTACAAAACACTTCCTGCAGTCCATTTTAATTTAAATTCTTCTGAAAGTGCAAATTTTTAATATTTTTCTGTAAACACTGCAAGTAATTTGTCCCTCTCCTGGGGTGCTCTCTCTCTATTATTTTTCTGTGGTTACCTAATGGGAAGAAAACCATGCTCAATTTTGAGTAATCTAACTTTTGAGACAAAAAAAAAAAACAAAAAACAGATTTGATACTGTTCTGTAGTTAATCATACCTAGATTTCCTTTACTGCTTTACAGTTTAATATAGATTTCAAGCCTTTAGTTACTGTTATTGCACTTGTACATAAAAAGGTTTCTTATGAGAAGGCCTAAGGTTTTGGCAGTTCTAAGAGGCTGAGTAGACCAATATATCAAACATTCAAGTAAGGGAAATAATACTTCTCCACATTAAGATATCTAAAGCTGAAACACTATGATAAATAAACAATTTACTGAATATGATAAAGAATCTAAGGGTGGCAACAGCAAGAATAAAATGAAAGAAAACTTTCATAATTTTTATTGAACTGAAAGTAATAATTTCATCCATCAATTATTTAAATCCAAAGTAATATACTTTCGTAAATAGATAATACTATAATTAATTTCAACAACAACAAAATCTGTTAATAAAGTATGCTAACAATCCCTTATTCAGGTATTTTTTTTGCATAAATCATATAAAAATTAAGTCACGAGATAAAACTTAACTCATGTACATTGTGGATAAATATATATAATCAATATATCAGTGTGATAAATGAGTATTTGTTTGTCAGATAAAATAGTATTTCCAGTGATCTTTCATTAATGCTGTGCCTTCAGGATATGCAAATACTATTAACTTATACTGAAAAAAATCTATGCACTTGGTTATCTCCCATTATGGCCCTGTTTTCAGTTCTTTGCTCATTCCTCTTGCCTTTTCACCATCATGCAAACTAAGAAGTAATTTTAAAATATTTTACAGTTCGTTTTAATCTAGGTACTAAATTGGAATTATGGCTATGCAGAAAGAGACACAGATAATTTATAGTAGTTACTTCCAATTAAATGTAAATCTAAAATGTATTATATTCAACATGTGAATCTTTTTGATTCTTTTCACATGAGAGTACCTACAACCTGTAAGTTCATTTTAGTTCTAGAAAAACAGTGGTTAGCTCAGAATACATGAAAGTCTTTCACTTATTTCTATACCAGGTTTACATTAGGTTGAAAAAAAGTCAATGCATACTGGAATCAAGCAAGATGACATCCTAACTTTCCCATCACACATCTCATTTAGTCGTCTTGATGATCTCAGAAGTTTTTTTCCAGCCCTAACTGTTCTTTGACTCAATTCAAAGTACACCGTAAATGAATGAAAATAAGTCAAATTATCCACTCTGATACAGTCCAAGAAGACATGCAGAATTAAGAAATGACAGATATTATGAAAGTCCATAAAAAACTTCTCTATAAATTCAAATGATAAAAAAAAAAAGTGTCATAACTGTGAATAGCAGTGAAAATTCCATTTGTATCATTGTCCAAGAGTATAAAGAGAGAAATGATTTGAGTGCTTAAGAAATATTTTACTATACACAGATAGTACTGCCATAGACATAGATCCAGAAGCACTGGAAAGAATTTAATAATTTTTACGTTTTATTCACTTCTTTCTACTATACACAGATTAATTCCATTCTTAACTCTATCATGTTTTTGAATCAAAATCTGTTTGTATTCAGCTAGGCATGGAACTGTGCTATAATAGAACTACACAAAAACAATTCAAATATTATATTACAAATAAGAATTGTGCATTTCTTATACAGGTAGAAATTTACTGATAAAAAGCTAATGGAATTTTTCTTATTACTATTTTGTATCATAGTTCACTGAAAAATTATGCATAGAATCATAGAATCATAAAATGGCCTGGGTTGAAAAGGATATTGTGTATTTGATAGTTCTTGTATGTATCTATCATACCGTTTTTTCCTGGTGATTTATTTTATAACATGTCACTCCTAACTAGAAAAATTGAAAATTTGAGCCATGTTAGAGAGAAGGTATATTCCAGATCATATGCGGAGATGTGAATGGGAAATTGCTGTTTTCTCTTGTTAATTTTCATCTCGTTAAAGTTTCAAAATATAGATTTTGACAGGAAAAGATTTCAGTGTCTCTTGATATTCTCCTTAGAAACACCTATGTAAGTAGTTCTCTCTGTGAAATACAGTAGCATTATACATTTCCTCTTTTATATAGGCCTCTTTGTTAGCCTATAAAGAAATATTTCACTAATAACATGTTTTTCTAAGATTCATCATTACAATATATTTGATTCTAAAATTAAATCTTGCTCTTATTTTCCTTTTGTGCTTACCAGTAAGACAATTTCTCCCAAGCATCACAACCTCTTTCCCATTAGAACTCTAATCTGTGGATAATGAGGTGAAAAATGAGCTCACCTCTAGAGATTATATAGTAGTTATGAAATTTTGCAGTTTCAGTTATTGAAGGCTAGATCAGGAAACACATTTTACTTGTTTCTTTTATATGAGTTCATCATCCTAACTTTGTTAGAAGGGTGATATTTCATCCTTACCAAGACCATGTTGTCTTTTCCTTGTTGAAACTCGATATTACTGATTAGATTTGGGAGAACTTCTAACCACAGCAGTCATGGTTAGTATCATGCCTCCTCTTTAGAAAGAATTTTGCTTACAGAAATAAATGAGCCAGTTTGAAAAAATAATAGATTTGAAAGTATTTTAAAAGTCCATGGAGACACTTGTGTGAAAGGAATTGTGCTAACACATATATATCCGTAATTATTCAGTAGAAAGACTCAGTTATCTCTGAATCAGGAAAATATGTTTTAATTCATATTCTTGATTTTTATAGAGAGAATTTGGTAGACAAACAGGAAACTTTGTAGAGGTACTCACCTCTGAGTTGTCACTTAACAGTTGCATCCAGACAATGTTTGTACTGAAAATAACTATTTCATAAAAACAAATAGTTTACATAATTTCCCTGCATTTTATAATCAAGAGATGACAGCATAGTACAGCTACAGAAAGACTTGTTTACACTTCTAGTGCTTTAAATTTAGTCTTCTTTCAGCTGAAACTAGAACAGAAATTGATTACAAATTTGTATTTTGCAAATTTAAATGAAGAATGAATGCATGGCCCATATAGTAATTGAGCTGAAGAGGCATTTGACATTCATATCATTGATTAGCATCTTCTTCTTTATGCACCATTGATTTTATGCTGCACTGAAGTCTTCTTTTTCCTGAAACAATCAGGTGTCCTTCTGTATGGGGTTATGACTTGCATGTTAATAACTGTACAATAATGATTTTGTGCTGGATCTTCACCAAGTGCAAAACATTAGAAAAACAAGATAAATTTTGTCTTTAGACATTCTTACAATGCTTAAAATTTAAGAGATGATTTTTGTTTTTCATTTCATGTCTAAAAAAAAGTAAAGAGCATGTGTTGGGTTTGTAACTTCATGCTTTTCAAATAAAAGCAGGGCTAAAGTTGTCAGTATATACCCATACACATGATAGTGAGGGAGCTGTGAACTGGCTATAGGTATATCTCAGGAGTTAGCTTAGAAATGTACAGCCAGTTGAAGAACACAGAAAGTTATACCCTGATGGCCTCATGGATAAAAACAAGTGCTGCAATGACTTCAGGCATGTTTACATATACTAGAGCAATGGAAGATATTTTGAGATGTTCTTCTCTTGGAAGAATTAACTCGGATTTAACTCAGATATTTTACTAGAGTTCTATTTCCTTTTGATTTGAATAAATGGGTAATTATTGCATTAATGAGAACTTTTTTTTTCACTGACAGATAATTGTGATGATCAGTTGCTGTCTAATTTGCCTCAGTCATCATTTAGCAGCTCATCAGAGCTGTCTAGCAGTCACAGCCCTGGATTTGCAAAGCTTAATCGAAGAGAAGGTGAGTGCATTTTATTGATTGATTCATGCCTTTATTCTTTCCTTTTTTTTCTTTTAAATGAATTCTTTAAAGCTCTTTCTTACCTCTGCACAATGCTGAAATTAGGTATATTGGACATATTCTGAGTTATTGGGGCTAGAAAGACACATTTCTTATTTTAAAGAAGAATGAAAACATAAAACAATCTCAAATAATTCACATTTCTACAGAAAATTGGTTTTCTTTGTGGTAAAATTATACCTGCCAAGTGAGAAGGTTTTTGTGATTTCACTGTAAAGGATTCTTCCTGACTGAATCTAAGAACCTCATGTGATTTTCCAGCAGCATCAACAGTAGATAGCACTGGGCATATATTTGTGCCTATTCCACAAATAACGTTTTAAATTAATTTTGTTGTTATAATTTGAGGAAATGCAAAGACACAAGTGTCATTGTATGAAACTCTGTAAGGACATATGGGAAAATGTAGATTACAGTTAGAAAACACAACTAAATAGTCAGAAAAAGTGCTTCTCTCTTCTTTTTTTTCCCCTTGAAATTTTAAATCCTGGTTACTCTATTTTCTATAAAGAGAAGGAAACTTGACTGTTAAGTGATCATTTTTATTACATTCATATTCTGAAAGCTCACTACCACTTCTAATTTTATTTGATTTAGTAATTAAATAAAATTTTCCATAATTTTGATCAGCTTTGGAACACTTTCTTCTTTTGTTAAAAGCTCTTAAAATTTGACAGCATTATTTTTTGCCTGTTTGTTTATGTAGCTGTTATGCAACTGAAAACCTTAAACCTTGAGCATTTATCATAGAAGATCCATATGGATCTGCATTACAGTATGTGTTATTGGCCAAAAAAGAAAAGAAAGGAAAAGAAAAGGAAAACAAAACAAATAAAAAAGCCTTTTCTGATATACCTAAAAATAATATTTTGTTTTAGAATTGTGACTAAACATCTAGCCTCCAGGTTGAAATTAAACAGTTTAGATATAAAAGAGCATGTGTTATCATTTCAAATAATTTTTATCTGATGTTTGGAAGCTTTGATTCAGAGTGTAGACTAATTTAAGGAAATCATGAAGCTCAACTTTCCACCTATCAGTAAATAAGAACAAAAGCGAAAGGTCTAGAACAACTATTCTGGCCTTTCTAAGAAGAAGCTGCTGGAAACATTGGTTCTGTTTAATGAGGGAACAAAGGAAGAGACTGTTCAGACAATGAGAACTGCAGTGGGACTTCAGAACATTTCAAACAAATCTTGTAACCCACATACATATCTGTTTTGTACCTATATAAAGTTGATAAACATGTAAATACCTTAAATTATAACAATGCTTTGCACTGATAAAAACATTTCCAATCTTGTGTTTCCATTATTTACTTGAATATTTGCTGTATACTGTTGGATAGAAACTTGATAATGAAGAAAAATCCTATTTCATTACACCAGTGTAAAATTTTTTAAATGTGAACTTCTGTTTTGAATGAAGTTGTGATGTTAAATATATCTGTACCGGTACTGTAAATTGAATTATCTTAATTTGAAGTAACATATGCTCCAAAAATTTTACCCAACATCTGACTTCTCACTAAACTGTACATTGGAATTTTTAAAATGCATATGTGAAATCTTTTTCACATTTGACTCTTTTCATGTACTGTGAAGTTCTTTGTACCGTGTTAACATATAATTATTTTAGAGTTGTCTTTTCTTTCACATTACACCCTAACGCATGCAAATATTAAAAAATGCTCTTAGTTTCACCTTTACTTCCTTCCATCTTATCCAGATGCAAAGCAGCGAGTTGCTTATAAGATTACTTAGTCTGTCTCTGTCTTCTTTTTTTTCCAATGTATCTCAGAGTCACAGTATTCAACAGGGTATAGATCAGAATGTTTTAATCATGTGGCATTTTCAAGCATTTTCTTGTCACAGTAACACAGCTATACTTTCTGGTTAGGTATCTTTTGGTTCAGATAGAGATAATTCAGTAGAATTGTGTCAGTAGGGTGAGATCAAAAATTTCTTCAGTCTTCAAAAAATTAATCTTAAAGGAATACTCCCAACTCTCATTTTATTTTTGAATTAAGGGTAGACACTCTGTACTTGAAGGGATTACTTTTTCTACTGAGTATATATTTAATTATTTTCGTGAATTTTCAAAGTAAAATCTGACTGTGTTTGGTGGTGTATGTACATGAAAGTTATATTTGGGTAGAACATAGCAAGTCATTATATATATAAATTTAGTAAAGAACAGGTTTAGTCACACAAAAAATGACTTTTAAATTTAGACCACAAGAGAGATCTATTGTAAGAGAATATGACTGAGATTGATAGAATGTCAGTAATGTCATAGAAGCAAAGGCATACTGTCATAGTTTTAAAATATATTGTAATTGATAACTTAATTGCAGATGGAATTGCCTTTAGTGTAAGGTAATAGATGACTTTGAATAAAAACATATAATTACTTCAGACAAAGTTAATAAGTGGTCAGAACTGATTTTTATGATCTAACATTCAGTTTAGACAATCAGATTACCCTAGTTCAATATTATAATTAGTTCTTAAGTTTCCAAATTTAGAGAAAATTGAGTACAATTCAGACAGGAAAAAATCACAGTGTTTATACACCGATTACTTAGAGTTGAGCCATCACAATTAAATGCAGAATTATGTGGTTAAGCTCTCAGATTTACAAAAGTCTTGAATAAGACAAGCAGAAATAGAATTATTTAAAGTTGTATGTTTTATGTTTATTTGTCTTGTTTTCTCCTACAATAGATGAAACATACTCTTCTTTGAATCACACTCTTCTTTATAGGTACAAGCTAGGCATCCAAATAACGGTCAGTACTCAGAGCACGCCTGTTATCACTAGTAACTGAAACCTTGAGTACCAGCATTTACCCTGGGATATATAATCTATCTGCACAAATTTTGCCAGCAATTTTCATAGTGAATTTTCATGTTCAGTCTGCAAATACAGAAGTTTTCTTGAAATATTATTTACCAATGACAGTTTTTGGAAGAAACTACTGACAAAAAGGGAGAAGGTTGTCTCATTATTGAGATCAGTGTTGCTGTAAACTGTTTTTAACAGCAGAATGACAAGTATTACACTATAATTTGTTTTAAGTACATGAAATTCTTTCATTCATTATTCCTCTGAGATCAGTGGAAGATACATATTGTTTAGGCCCTTCATCCAAGAACTTAGGTTGCATGTGAATTAATAATCTTGTACTTTTTTATAGCTTATATTCAGAAGATTTATGTCTGACAAGTATATTGCCTATCTTGGCAACTAAATGAGCTGGGTAGAGATTTGGCTATGATTGCCATTCCCCACTGACTTATTGTGGTTTAGAATTTATCAAATGAAAATAAAATGTCTGACTTGAAGACATTTTTTTCCCTGAAGTAGGAGGAAGCCTTTTTTTTCTTTTCATTAATATTCAGTCTACAATTTTACTGAAAATTAAGATTAAATTTAGGCCCCCTTTTTTTCAAACAGTAAAGTTCAATCACTTTTGAATAACTTGCACTGGGGAGATCAAAATTGGCAAATAAAATATACGTATCAGTAGTTTGAAAAACCAAAATTTCTCATATAATTAGGAAAAAGCTGATTGCAAGCAAATGATTTTTTTTTTATTAAGAAATAATTTTAAATGCAAAAGTCAACACTGAAAATTAAAATAAAAGAGCAGACAACTTCAAAAATGGGATAGCAGCTAAAATAGTTACTGAAAGGTAATTAAAATGAATTAATTACCTCAATTTCATTAGTATGCAAAACAAATTATTAAATCTGGTACTTTGCTGTATTATAAGCAATAAGAAAAGGAAGCTTGAACGAAAGAATCTAATATGAAGGTAATACTAACGGTATACTTTAATGCTTGTTCTTTAATAACAATAACAAAACTAAATTGATTATGCTAAACTGTGGCTTAGATTTTTACAACTAGCCTGATTTCAGCAGATATGTTGAAAAAAACAAAAATGACAATCTGAATCTTAAATTTTAAACTGACTAAAATAAGCAATTCCTGCACTAATGCACAAAAAATCAGAAGATGCACACTATTCTGTTATTGAAAGTCCTGAGAAAGTATCATCTAGCTTTGAGGTAGATATTGTGGAATATTAATTATTATATTACTTGATATATTAAAATAATAACTAAATTGGTTTAAATACCATTGAATAGTTTCACTCTTCCTATAAAAGATGTTATTAACACTTGTTTTAAATTACATAAAGTTAACTTCTGTAGTCATATGACTCCATGTAACACAGAATTATAGACCATAGAATAACCTGGGTTGAAAAGAACCGCAACAATCATCTAGTTTCAACACCTCTGCCATGGGCAGGGTCACCAACTAGACCAGGCTGCCCAGAGCCAGCCTGGCCTTGAATGCCTCCAGGGGTGCGGCATCCTCAACCTCCTTTGGCAACCTGTTCCAAAACATCACCACCCTCTGAGTGGAAGAACTTCCACCTAATATCTAACCTAAATCTCCCCTGTCTTGGTTTAAAACCATTCACCCTTATCCTATCACTATTCACCTATGTAAACAGCCACTCCCCTTCCTGTTTACATGCTCCCTTCAAATACTGGAAGGCCACAATGAGGTCTACCCTCTCTCCCTGCTGGCCACTCCTCTTTTAATGCAGCCAGGCTATATTTGGCCTTCCAGGCTGCAAATGCTGTTTACAGGTTTTAGGCACACACTGTTGGCTCATGTCCAGCTTCTCATCCACCAGGACCTCCAAGTCCTTCTCTGCAGGGCTGCTCTCAAGGAGTTCTTCCCCCCATCTGCGTAAATACCTGGGATTGCCCCGGTCCAAGTAAAACACCTTCCACTTGGCCTTTTCTTGGGCCCACTTCTCCAGCCTGTCCAGGTTCCTCTAGATGGCTTCCCTTCCCTCCAGTGTATTGACTGTATTGCTCAGCTTGCTCTCATCTGCAAACCTCCTGAGGTTGCA